TGTCTTGCAGGTAAGAGTAAGGGCAAAGGAAAAGACAGGGAAATAACATGATATGAGATACTCTTGCTCTTGACCCTGATGATATGAGGTATTTTTCCTCTTGAATGAAAACAGTAGAAGGATTTGATGCTGATGTAAAGCTTCTCGATTAAAAATATTTCTCACTGAGAAAATAAGTTTGGCATTTTGAGGGACTTGATTGAAAAGGTATTCTCAGAGAGAAAGAATATTGAATATGTTGATAGGTTTAGTTGCAAATGCATTATTGGCAAGGAACATGAGTTAGGTATTTTGGAGGTGCTTTGCCATGGAGGACGAAGGTCGACATATATAGGGATTTCTCAATAGCAGGTAGTGGTACATATGTGGCCTTGTCACCCACGCATGTCGACAATAGTGGTGTAGTTGGAATAGTGAACTTTACGCATTTTAACTTTGTCAGAGACATTTTAACATATTTGTCCTTGATATCCAAAAAGCGAAGATTATGTCTGAGAAAATGTTGACGAACTTTATACAGGAAAATCTGACTTTTGAAATTCGGAGAGCAGTGTCTTTTCAATTTTTGAACAAGTGGTTGTGTTGCCTCTCATTTTATAGAAGTATCAATTGTATCCAAATGCACGTTTTGAAGATTACCCACCTGTGAAAATTGTCTATGTTGTATTTCTGAGATTTCACTTTATCCAACCCTTGTCTTTCATCATTTCTGAAAATGGCTTGCCCATCTAACATTTGTTTAGATTTGAGTCTCGGGGGAGATGCACATGTCCCGCGCCAGGATAATATATGGCGTTTGTCATTCTTATCTTCTAATGACCATTTTACGATTAGAGACTCTGTGATGAAGGATGAGATGATATAACGGCTACAGTAGTAGATAAGAACCTTCTCACTCCCAGAGATAAAAGAATACTTTCAAATAGGTCTGATGAATTGGTTGTTCAAGACTATTTGGCTTTTAGTGTTCAATGTGATGGTTTTGTATCCAACATAGGCTAACGCCTACTTACTTGAACTCGCCAAGTCGAAACATTAATGGATAAGGTGGCAAGTCTTAGACAAAAGATCAGAGGGCTCAAGCAAGAGAATAAAGAGTTGCACAAACTTTTAAATATTTACTCGACGAGCATGAAAAGAAAGCTCGACCAGCTACAAGAATCCAAATGTCGGATTTAAAGTGATCACCAAAGATTCGTAGCTAGATTCTGAAGGCAACTGATGCCTTCCCCTTCTAGTGTTTTGCCAAGTATTGGGGTGTCACATGATCACCAAAGATTCGTAGCTAGATTCTGAGACTTCACATGAGAAACCTTTATGAAGCCCCCCCCCCCCCCCCCCCAAAAAAAAAAAAAATTTGTTTGTTTTTGTAGTTGTAACTCATGTGTATGCACATATATGTATAAAAAAAAAAATTCTCCCATTTGATTTTATACATGTCTGAAAGCTTCTACTTTAGCTCGTTATATAGGGAACCCATGGAAACTTCTGGTTCCATAATTAATGAATTAATGAAGAGACGATGGAAACTTCTAGTTCGATAAATATGATTCAATAAGCCTTTAAGTATAGATGTTTTCTAATATCATATGCTTCCACTTGAATTCTTAGGCATTATGAATTCATGAAAATATGTCTTGTGTAAGATGTCGAAGGTCACAAAATCAGGTTTTGCTAAGTTCACCATTTTCTTATTCCCAAAAGGAAGAAATTCAGGTATGACAAAAATTGCGATAATTAACTCATACCACATATAACATATGTCTACACAAAATGTTAGAACTTCAAGTTCTTCACATTATTCATATTTTGAAATTCAAGTCAAAATATTATTCATATGTACTCGAAATTTATTCTCAATATTGACATCGGAATTCATGCCCATACTTAATCTGTGCATGGATTAAGGAACTTATGGTCCTCATTTAAATGATTCTGGCCCTCATTTAATAGTTTGTGGATTGAGGTACTTGTGGCCATCATTTTAATTTAGTTGAGGAATTACTACTCTCTTTGTTGATTCAAAACTTCAGGTTTTGATTTTGATCAAAGAACTTCTGGTCCGATCTTTTTATATGATGAGGATCATGAAACATCAGATTATAATGTGATCAAGGAACTTCGGATCCTTGTTAGACTCATCATAACAAAATGTAGTACACTAAATAAATTAAAGCAATATGCGGTAATTCCAACCATGATAAATAAATTGCTATTTAGTGAATAAAGCTTGTGACAAGGGCTTTGATTCAGCATCATTCACATAAATATCAAAGCTTAAAGCAAAGGGTAATAACTCCACCCACTGTAAATAAATTGCTTTAAATAAATAAAACTTGTGATAGGACTTTAAACCAGCATCATTCACATAAAAATGCAAAACAGAAAAGGCAATGGTTGAGTCTCTATCTTTTGTTTTCTTCTTGTTTTCACATGGTGCAACGCACCATTCCAAAAGTCTCACTATTTTATCTCTTCTCTATAGCCTAGCTCACTGGTATTTTATTATGTATCTCTCTTCTTCCTCTCCTCCATCTTCTTTCCTTCCTTCGTATGCTCTCATTTTATAGGCAAAAAATTATTGTAACAACACTATTTGCTTTACAAACTTTCTTCATATGAATAATAACCCATATGATTTTTCTTTGGATGAATAGTAATAAACTATTCATGTGGACCATCCACATATTACATTACAACATAAATTTTTTTTGTTTGCATTTTGTATACATGGTAAACGAGTGGTATCCACGTCAACAAATACGTGAAACTTACTCTTACAATATCATCACTTAATGATCAATTTGATAGATTAATTGATAGATGTATAACGTTGCAATTAAGACCCAACTTTGTGTATGACATTGCAATTAATGTTTTGAAAACAATATATGAGATTGTAGTTGCACTCAAATTTGAGAATCTACTTGTAATTCACCCAGACTTAAAATCACATGAATGACTTTTAATATTTTGATTCTATGTTATTCACATGGCACAATATGATTGGCTATGTGGGTTATAGTTCCCCACAAAGCACTATAACAGAATAGAAGTTTTAACGACTTGGTATTTTTGTTATTTGAAAACAGTTGAGGATGAGTTTTATAATTTTTTTGGAAACAGTTGATGACTTGACCTAGATAGTTATTGTATCTAGCGACGGTAGCTGAGTATGAAACAAAACGAGCATATAAGTCAATATTTAAGTGCACTTAAGGTGACATGCCAACTATAAGGATGAGTTTTATATTTTTTGGAAACAGTTGACGACTTGACTTAGATAGTTATTGTATATAGGTTGCAATAGCAGAATGTGAAACAAAACGAGCATATAAGTCAATATTTTAGTGCACTTGAGGTGATAAGCCAACTACCTATATTAATGATATACACACCAAGAGATGTCTTTGTGTGAACAAAATTGAATTCACACAACACTTGGCTTTAACACTTTCCCACATGAAGAAGAGATTCATATAAGTCAATATTTTAGTGCACTTGAGGTGACAAGCCAACTACCTACATTAATGATATACACACCAAGAGATGTCTTTGTGTGAACAAAATTTGAATTCACACAACACTTGGCTTTAGCACTTTCCCACATGAAGAGGAGACTCTTTTTGGGTGTTATACGTAATATTTTTAGTTTTTAAATCTTTGTTTAAAATCACAAAAATTAAGATTTAACGATAAAAATATTCAAAGTATTGAGTAGTCTGAAGTACTCAAGAATTTTTGCATGTAGGTATATATACAACAAGTGGTGTCCTGGTTCTTTGTCAAATTCTTATTTCAACGAAGGTAATGCTAGGGAGACTAATTTCTTTTACTGTTTAAGTAATTAGTTATAAGGGTAAAGTTGTCAATTTATTAGCAAAAAATGTTGACTAAAGGGTTATGTAAAAGTGAATTACAACTTGAGGGGGTATTAGTGCAATGTCTGAAATGTGAAAGGTTTTTGTCAAAGGTCTATAAACCTCAAAACGTGTTAGCGTAATCAACCCAATGAATATGTTAGAAGTACATATTGAGGAGCATTTTAGGATTTTAAAATATCTACTTTTAGTTAAAGCAAATTAATGCAAACAAATTTTCATGCATGTAAGTTAATTGTGACATTAAACTGCACATGGTTACTACATTTGTAACTGCAACCACCCACTAAGCGGAGAAATTTTTCATTGTACTCGGAATACGAGTGATACATCACGTGTTATTATACAAGTGAAGGGAAGTTTTATTTTTTAAATTGTTAATTTTTTTAACACAAGTATCTCACCACTTATATAGTGGCATGCAATGGCGGATCCAAGAAATATTATTTGGGGGGTCAGTAAGAATAGCGAGTGTAGCGTCCAAAATTTTTTGGACGAAATAGCATGCAAATTGGCATGTCATCGAGCTTTGGTAAGCCTGAGGTCATTTGCCAAGTCATATTGCACGCTTGTTGACAGATGCCAACAACTTTCGGCAATCATGTCGACTGATGTCAGTAGCTTTTGAGCAAGCATGTCGACAGATGATAACATATGCCTAGTGAGCTTATTGCCATATGCCCATAGCACATACTAGGGCATAAGGCTAGCAGCTACTCACTCAGTGTTCACATGGGCAATTCGTCGAGCAATTGTTGGAGGGTCAGCTTTTAAGGACATCTCAGATTTTCGAAGGGCAGCACCAGGCTCTTCCATGAAAGATTTCTGAGCTTTGGAGGGTTAGCTGACCCACCTTGCCCTAAGGTAGATCCACCCCTGATGACATGTGTTGTACCATCCCATGTCCAAGCACACTAAAACATTTCTCCACTAATTGATAAATTGTTGATGATGATAATTTGACAGCCAATCACTTTCATCATGCATTAATTAGTGTGTTCACGTATTAGTAGAGTATCATGAATGCATATGGGTATAAATAGTGGACGAACATCTCAATATAGGGTTGTAGTAAAACACTGATCGATAACTAAATGAGTCCGCTTAATATCATCGATCATGTCATCACTATTATTCCATTTATACATTCTCCTTGCAATATTAGTATTATACAATTTATACACACACATTGCAATATTTCATCTTCCAGTTTCCTCCGTCTTCCCCACTCAAACTTCGGGTGCCACACCATACGAGTTTCTCATGTTCACACAGCAGTGGCCGAAAGCTGTGAACGAATCTAGCCCATTGGCCCAATTTACAATCCACGGCCTGTGGCCGTCAAAATATAAATCCGGACCAGTGTTGCGGTGCAACGGAACAGATTTTGATGAAAACAAGGTAAATTTATTTCAGCTACACTATCCTTCGTGCACGCGAGTTCTTCAGGTATTTTTTAAATCATAACATGTTACATACGACTTACATATTTTAATGTATTTGTATACGTAAATTGATAAAATAAAAGTCAAATATTTGAAGTAAATTAATAATTTTAGATCATGTTAGAAGAAACTCCTCATAAACTAATTAAAGCAGCTGAATTCACATAATAAAATCAGTGTCTACAAAATTTACATTAAGAATAGAGAAAATAATATTTAATAAACAATTAATTAAATCACATTACTGCTAGCCCATTATGAGGCTAAGCCCACCCCTCTTTCCCTCCTTAGTGTAGATAATATCGTTTGTTTAAGAAAAAAAAATCATTTAACAATTAATTTAATCATATTATTATCCATGTGCGAAATACTTTTTTTAAAACCGGCATTACACGCCTCTTAAGATGTTTTGAACGTGTTTAAAAATAGAGAAAATAATATTTAATAAACAACTTATTGAATCACATTATTGCTAGCCCATTGTTGGGCTAAGCCGCTAAGCCCACATTCCCTCCCACTTAGTGTAGATAATATCGTTTGTTAAAAAAAAACAATCATTTGACAACTTATTTAATCACATCATTATCCGCATGCGAAAGACATTTTTATAACCGGCACTACACACCTCTTAAGATGTTTTGAAAGTGTTTAAAAATAGAGAAATTGAATCACATTATTGCTAGCCTATTGTGAGGTACTAATTAAAAATTTTAAAAATAAATAAATCACTATTAAATGATGAAAATACCCCTGTCTTATTTGATGCATTATTTTGGGATACCTTTGAATATTTTTTTTTTTGTCTTGGGGGCATTTTTGTCCAAATCTTTATGTTGAAGCTTGGTGACCCCAAAAGCATTATTCACCTTTTGTGTTCTCTTTATATACAGAAGATATTAGAAGTACTCTGTCATAAATAAGGGTTAAATTACTTCAAATGTGTTTTACTCACCAATGAAATGTGTTTCCATATTTTTGACATAGATGACGCCTGACCTAGAAAAGAAGCTCAATATCTCTTGGCCGGATGTCGAAAAAGGGAATAATATGGGGTTTTGGGAATACGAGTACAATAAGCACGGTAGGTGTTCCGAAGAAACCTTCTCCCAGACCGAATACTTTGAGCTCGCCAACAAGATGTGGGGAAAATTGGACATAGCTCAAATGCTTGCAAACCGTAGCATCGTTCCAGGTAAAAATTATACCACATCTGAAGTTGTGGCTGCCATTAAGAAAGCAACTCAGCATAACATCACCATTCGTTGTAAAGGCCAAATATTGCATGAGGTGATTGTATGTTACGACCACGATGGAAAACAAGTGATCGACTGCGATCGTGACAAAAGCAACTGCGGTCAGTCTATATCATACGTGAAGTAAAGTAAGATCACACACGTACATGTGTGCTAATAATGAAATTAGATGGATATCCCAAATTTAAATATGTACTATTATTAAATAGGATAAATTACACTTTATCCCTTTAAGTTTAGATGGAACTAGAAAATGTGCCCGCGCGTTGCTGCGGGACTTGAATGTATCACCTTGAACTGCATGAATAAGATACATTTAAACTGAACAAATTCAACACAATCATAAATGAAGAAAGGGATAGATGAGTGAATGAGGTTAGTAAGATATGCAGCTTCGTTTTTATATACATTCAACTGAGCTTCGTTTTTATATACATTCAATTGAGCTGACATGAAAAGACATTGTACCATGAACAGGACGAAACTGAACGTTTTGGTTCCCTAATAAACAGAAGTAACAGACAGTTCACACAAATCTTGCCCTTGTAGTCAATGTGGCAAAATATATATCATGTAGATTAGGCAACATAAAAACTATTTTGTTCTTATTCTAGCATCTAAGTTTTCAAGCACAAACGTGCAAAGCAAAAAACATGCAGGACGCCTGTTACCGTAAGAAACAGAAGTAACATGCAGTCCACACATATTTTGCATTGCAGTTAAGATTGAGTTTCGTTCTTGTTCAAGCAGCTAAGTCTTGAAGCAAAAATGTTGAAAGCCAAAAACATGTAGAACGCCCTGCAGCAGTCGTTCTTGTTCAAGCAGCAAAGTCTTCCGCACTATAGCAAAGAAAATAAATCATAGTTTAAAAGAATATCACACGATGGTCCTGTTTAGAATCACAATTTACTCCCCAATTTCCACCTAACTCCGAACAAACAACATTGATAAATCTTTATCATCACCTTTAACAAAATAGATCACAGCGAAAAGAAAAAAAAAAGTTCCTATGCAAACAAATTCTTCTGGATGTCCAACTTAACCCATCTATGAGAAGGCAAGCAATCGGACGTGCATTTAGACCAAGGAAAATAAATTATACAACTAAAAACATCAACCGATTCTCTTGAAGAGAACACACACGCATGCCAACATATTATTCACCAGATTCTAAGCTTTCATTTTCGTTCTATCCCTTTCGTTATCTAAACTTATAATTATCAAAACAGCAATAGAATAATAGAGCAACCTTCAATCATTTATCAAAACTGAATTAATTAAACTTCTGCTCAGCACTCCGTTAATTTTAATTGCAACTCTCGTTCTAAGAATTAAAAATTTTGCATTTGAATAATCAAACGCACTTACACATTACATTCCTTTTATTGGTTCTTGACACAATACATTTTAGGATTCGATATTACAATAATATCACTGAAACATGAATCGCAATAGATATAGAAACCAAACTTGCACACAACAACAAAAAACGTTTACCTATCCAACATTTCAACATAAGCATGATATAGAAAGACAGAAATCCACATGTCACTTTGTTTTTTCAGAACCAACAAAAAGGGCAACTATAAGAGAATGTAACCAATTTTAAACAGTAAATCAGTCTCCCAATAAAGGAGAACATAAGCATGACATACAAAGATCGAAAGGCAGAGTTAATTTGGTTTCCTCAAAAGCAACGAAAAGGAGGCTGAATCAGATCAAATTAAACAAAGTGAAAACCGGATAGACAAAGATTAGAAATTTGCTTGCATCTCTATCATATCCCGCATTTCCTTTACAAAATAAACAATCATGAATACAAAGCACATGAAAATCAGCAAACCATAAAAAACAAAGATAAACGCACAAATTTCCAAAGAAATTGAAATTGTGTCATGAAAATTAACTAACGAATCATATTGAGACATCTTTGCTTGGTGCTTGGCAATGCTCTAACTCGGTATGGAGTTTTAAATTATTCTATCCAGGTACAATGATGGGGATGCACTGCCAGCTGATGACCAGTCATTTATACTTGATAATGTTCTCAATTACCATCCGAATAAAGTTGTTAAAAGGCGTTCTGGAATCGGTCATCTCACAGTATGCTTATCTACCCTGTTTTTGCTTAACTGCGTTTTATTTAGAATTATGTTCAGCGCACTTTTGATGCATTATGCTTGGAATCTGTGACTGATTTTATTGTTATATTGGTTATTGTACTGTTCATTTCATTGTAGGGCAGACAGGAAACATTAAAATAGTAATGAAGCTCAGAATATTTGCTAAACACCAAAACCCACATCACATGCCCTCTACCTAACAAAGATAAATTAAAAACTACAATACAATGCTGAAAATCTAAAGTAGCCAGAAACCAAAAGATCTTAGTGACAACTTGCACGGACATTACAAAAATGCAGGACTCAAAACACACTAAAACGTCTAGAAACTCGAAGTTATCGCTATTTGGTTATGAAGATAGATATATATCACCAGGAAACCCAAAAATGGCCAGGATTTGCCAAAATTTGTAAATCAAACACATATGCATCAACTCCTTTTCCTCTGTTAGTCTGTTATCATCTCACATGCCTCACTATTCGAGACTGGATCAATTCGATCACAGCCAAACTGCCAGTATTAAACTTAAGGAAGTACCGATCAAATGATCTAAACATTGTGCATTACAGATCCAAATCAATAGTGGTAATAAATAAGATAATTTCAGTTGTTATTTGCAATTAAAATTGAACAATGCTTATTCCCAAGGAATATCTGACAATGATTGCAGCAATCAAATGTGCGTTCAATTGAATTAGCTATGTATTTGAGGATTTGGGAAAGGTTTTTTGAGAGTAAACAGACGTTAATTATTAGCTATGTATTTGCTTAACAAACAGTAGCTGAAATTGCTATGTATTTTTCAATGGGGAATTTAAAAACCAATCCCAATTTGTCATTGCTCAAACAAATTGGAATTTCAGAACCAATCTCAATGATCAAATTAACGAAATATTTCTTAAGCTAATTTAGAAAGGCAAATTGCAAGATTTTGAAGGAATTTGAAAAATGAGGGAGAAAAAACCAAATGAGAAGGTTGTGCCTTATCTCCCTCACAAAATCATTCGCACAAAAACCATAGCTTTTGATGGAATTTCAAAACCAAACAAATCTCAAAGATAAAGTTGTCATGTAAACATGTCTAACACAGATTTCTCAATTATTAACACTACTCTTTCTCAATTATTAAAAACATAAAGATCAAAGTCAATTGGGTGTATAATTATATACCTCATCATGCCAAGCAAAGCAACCAACTTCTGCCTCCAACGACCCAAAATTCTGAAAATTCCAAAAAATTTAATTTTAAAAAAAAAAAACATAAGAAAGAAAAAACCCAGCATAAGAGAAATCTACAAACCGGATGCCAGATCATCAAAAGATTAAAAACCACTCAGAATCAATTAGCATTTGAGTCTAAATATGAGAATTTGTGAATTTGTTCCATAGGATAGTTAACAGGATACTATCATATCAAAACCAACGCTGAATAAAATCAAGCAATGAGATTGCGATGATATAACATCATTTCCTTAAAGCTTCATATACTAACCTAAAAAAGAAAATATGGGAAGAATAGACTGCCTCCATTGGCCCTCAAAGTCTCCTCACCACCAAACCACCCGTCTAGATGCATTTGCCTGTTCTTTCCCACAATTCTTAGAGATCAAATAGAACCCTCGGATTGACTGGGGACAATATGGAAATCCTTTTTGAAGCGGTAATACAGGAAGACATGAATAATTTTGACAGAAAGACACACAAATTGTTGAGGGAGGATGTAAAGCTTCTGCACGGAAGGTTTCTACTCTTGTACATCTAAAAAAATTAAATGAAGCAAGAGAAATTCAACAAAAAAACTTGATAACCCTTGCCCAAAAGAACTCACTAAATTCAAAGCATACCATCTACACTGAGTCACTAACATACATTGCTCAGTTAGGACTCTGTTATACTTATCATCCTTGATCAATGTAATCATATATTTCATAGCTACACTCCCCATTGACATACACTAACATAGCATCTACTTTTTTGCTGACTTTATTTGCTCAGTTAAGCAATAGCCAACATACACAATCTGACAATCATAGCAGCTACAGCAATCATCCATAAATGGGCAGAAATACAAATACTATTATATTGGGGTTTGGAACAAATAAACCAATCATCCAATTCGAATGTTGTTTGGAACAAATACACTAACCATTCAATTGAAATGGCATTTGGCACAAATACATTTTTCCATTAATTGGATATTCAATTAACTGGGATTAAAAAATGATTACCAAACAAAAGCCAATTTTCTAAAGAAAATTATTGTTTTATACCTGCCAATTCCAAAGGCCTGTATAAGCCCAAAATTGAGGGATGGTGACATCTCCAATTTGGAGTTGAGGATCTGCATTTCCTGCAATTCCATAGTGTACAACAGCTTTCACCTTGAATAGGGTTTGTAGTAATTGAGTTGAGATGCCTGCATTGAGCTTTTCACAGGTTTCTACATCAATTTTTTTCCAGCAAGTTTCTACAGAAAATACTTCAATAATATTGAATGATACGGGAAATAAATGGTTAAGATTTACACTAAAAGATTTAATAATTGTCGAATCTAACGGATAATACACTTGTAGTATTGAAGCCAGACATTGTGTCTACATCATTTATTAAATACATTATCTATGATATGCACTGACCAACGAAATTAATCAAAGTAAAACAGATGGTCATCTGCATAATTAAACATACCATGCTCAATCCAGTCATAACAATTATAACCTTTTTGTCTTCCAATCGTCCAATTCGAAACCTTCTTCCTGTCAAATTGGGTATGTAGAATTTGGTCTAAAGTTATTTTTCTTTCAATTACAATATTCTATGTATTTATAAATTTCAGAGCAGAACGTGCAAAGGCAAGAAAAGCAGCAACAACGAAACTCATATATACCATGAGCTATAAAGATAAACATTTTAGCAAATGATATTGATTTCCGCATACTCATTATTCTCCATATACACTCGTGTTTATTTGGGTCATTTGAATTGAATAAAAAAATATAAAAAAATAAAAAGACAAAAATTCAACAAAGGTGCAGAATAAGAAAATAGTGTGAGAAATCAGTTTCATTTAGGAAATATATGTACATATCACTCAAAGAACACCCATGTAATTATACAAACTTAATGAATATATATATATATATATAATTTTATGCTTACCAGCAAAATCCAAATACGGTAGGCTCTGATCAGCCACAAAGCTTGTAGATTGAGGCTATAACCAGAGATATCTTTGAAAAAGGCAGATCAGATTCATGAGGAAATAAAAACTTTATGTTCAAATACGAAAAGCAAATCAAGAAACGCAAAAACTTGAGAACTAATCGAAACCCAATAGAGAAAAACGAAAATCCAGAGAAACCCACTAACCTGTTCGAAGAGTGACAACCATGCAAACATTCCCCATTTTGACAGGAAGAATAGCAGAGTGTGACATAACCATTCTGAAAACTATAGTAGCAGGTTTCCAAATCATTGAAGATAATAAATGAATAGCTAGACATTGAGAATCGTTTTCTTCATTAATTAAACAATAGAATGTGTACAGGGCATAAGTCAAGTTTGCTAATATAAATATCCTCATTATAAATATCACTAAAGCGTGCACATACATTGTGAGGTTTGCCAATATTTTCATCTATTTCCAAGTGTGTGCTGGTTTGTTTTTTTCCTTTCAAATATGCAGTTCTTTTCATTTGAGTCTAGATGTTAATATTTCTACGATTCAAGTGCCATTTTATTTCTTCACTTGGAAAAAGAACTAAGCCTTTTAAAGTGGTCGTGGTGGAAAGTAATTGGATACCATTGTATAATTTCTTGACTCACTGCACATTTTGTACCTAAAATTTCCACTTGATTATGTTTTAGCCTCTACCTATTCTCTTCCTTAATTTGGTTTTGCCTAACCAAAGTCTTTTCCTGTTTAAGGACACGCGCCCTATGTTATTTCCTTCTCCACTGCATTCTTATCTTGCTAAAATTTATAACATCAAACCATCAGAATCTCAACCCATAATCAGTTTTACCCGCCCACAATAAATCAGAATCCTCAAGCCAACAACTTACATTTGATTCAGGAAGTAAAGTGACTTGTGCATATACTTCATCAGTGTCTGGTTCAGCCTATAATTCAGCCGAAAGAAACATATTATTCCCTCGCAAAGCCCAATAACTTGAGTACAAAAGAACCAGCTAAACAATTAAATCCAGAATTCTTAGTTTTCTTTATAAGAGCAGCCACCACACTACCTTCAATGATACATTGACAACCCGACAAAGAATCTTCGATGCAAGATTATACACTGGCATCTGCTGATTAGTCGATGCCTCCACCTATTTTTGAAACCAGAAAATCCAATTGACAATTAGTGATAAAACCCAGAAACACAACCTAATATGCATCAGCTACAAAAACCCAAATAAATAAATAAAAGACTCAAATTTCTATGTAAAAGCGAACATATTTTGACCCCAAAACAAAGATGTCATAGATGGAGGAAGAGAGAAGCGACAAAAAGGGAGAGACACTAACTCAACCCCACCATCTCTCTGCAGCCAACACACTCATTCCCTCAACCCTACCCTCAAATCTTGTACCCAATCAACTCTCTTTCTGTCCCCCTAATCGTGCACCCGTCGTCACCTTCTCTCTGCAACCAACCCCCTCTCATATCTCCCCCAAATCAGACCCCCACTCTCTGCAGCCAACCCCCTCTCCTCTCTCCCCCATATCACACCCCCATCCCGTGAAGGCACTGACACCAGACCACCTCCCTAGAAACCGGCCCTAAAAACCCATACCCATACCTCCCTTACCCGTTACCTTTCTCGAAGCAAAAAGTGTTATATGATAGTACTCACCCCAATCTGGTTAATGACATTCACTGCATAACGCTCACCAGTAAGTATAGTCTCCCTCTTTGAGAAAGGCCTGAGGTCAAAATTGGCAACAACAAATTACCAAAGCCAAATGAAAGAATAAATCTACAGTCACCACAAATATTTTCTAAAATGGAAGATAGACTAGAGTCAAACAGGAAAGGGATAGCAGACACAGTGAGCTTTGTCTCAGTTTGAAAAGAAAATTGGGTAGTTTCAGGAGCAAAATAGTTCATTTGTGTAGAACTATAGCAGCATCTGAGAGCTAGGAAGTTATCACCCAATAAATTTTGTTATACCAAAGATTCAGAAAATGGGATTAGGTATGGTGGTACCCTTTCTCTTCACATTTATAATATACGGAGTATAGTGAAGGGGGAAAGCCATACCTTCCTATGAATGAATTTAAAAAAAGGGATTTTCCTGCATTTTTAGGACCAAAAACAAAGCAGCTAACATTTCTTTCCGTTTTTTTCCTTTTACGATCTACTGATCTTCTTCCAGTAACATGGATAGCTGAAGCAGGACTGCCATTGTATCCAACATATATCAAATTCGCCAAACTTCGGTTTGGATTTAACAGTGTCATGAGGGCCCACTGGAATCACAGAAAAACAAAGATATAATTACAATTTACAATTGGCTAAGGAGATTCTTTAAACAAAGAAATAAGGGAAACATAAATATCATCCAAAATAAATGGGAAAAAAAATTCATGAAGAGCATATGTAAGCTAATTTAAACAGGGTAGCAATGAAAACGAAGATACCTCAGACAAAAATGCATTAAGAGGTAAATTCCCAGATGTCGTTCTCCCTGCAGCATCCTTATAAGGAGCTTCACTCCAAGGACTGAAATTTCGGTAAACAGCATATTAAAAATCTATTTTTGGAGAATAAAAAGAAACCATGATGGGAACATACATTATTTTATCCACAAATAACAAAAGGGTAAAAGGAACATACATTATTTTACCCTCACCAGTCAGATCCAAGTCAATCCATACCAGGGGCATTTTGTACTCTTCTGGAGGTATCTCCGTAATTTGCTTACTCTGCTTCTCATTTACCAACTATGACTCATTTCCACATAAAAATAGAAAATCTGGATAACAGCAACTAACGCCAAATCCGAATAATGCACAAACCCTAAACCCTGAATTAACATAAATTACATAAATCATGTGAAAATACAAAAATTACAACTTGAATTCCAGAGACAGACCTGAAGAGGGGAAGACTGACTTGAAGCTGTTTGACAACTTGTGACCTGGTGACGTACCTAGCTGCATTTCCTTCCTTCTTCTTTCCCTGCAAATTTGACGGACAATCAACGGGAAGTGTGAGAAAATGGTGAAATTAAATATTGGAAATTGTTCTTTTAATACTGATGTATATAGGAAAGCTTATCGGAGAAGGAGGAGGTGACCTAGAACTCACCGCAGGCCTGTAATGCTTATGCTTCACCGGGGCCTCGATTTGCAGATAGAAGCTCGGCCCGATCGTAACGAAGCACAGCCTCTCTGCCCTTTGAAATCTGAAATCCCCACCCAAAAAACCACGCACGGGCCTTCCTGATGCGAACGGTGGAGTAAGACGACATAGGAGAGAGAAGGGATCAGCGAGGGATCTGAGGGAAATTACAAAGTGAAAAAAAATTTCTTGGGATTTTTATTGTGTCATTTGAGTAGCTAAAAGAGGACTATAACAGTCAAATATAGTGAAAGAATAATTAAGGGCAAGCTGATTGTATGATTAAAGAAATCTCAAACCTTCCATAAAAAAATCAAAGCGAAAACCAGAGAAGCGTGAGGATAGGAAGAGATTGATACCTTACCGGACGTTGGGGGTAGCCCAAGTTGACTGAAATCGACGAAACCTTGCTCGACCTCTCTCTCTTTCTCTCTGTCCACATGAGAAAACCACATCACCCAAAAGGTCAGAGATTTCCAAAACCAAAAGGAAATTAAGAAAGAGAAACGGATGGGGGAGAGAGAGAGAGAGATAGGAGTACCGTTAGTTAAAGCGTGGACGGCTTTGGTTCTCCGACCACTGTAATCCCTGAAGATCTCTTCCGCCCGTCGACTCGAGTCCATCTCCCTGCACTTCTCCTTCATCCCACCGAAGCTCTCGAGTTACAAAAATGAAGCCGAGTTTGTGTGGTTTTGGTTTTAGGAAGCAGGTGCCGATGTTATTCCAGAGATGGTGTTGTGGCTGCTAGGGTTTGAGAAAGTGGAAACGAAGCCAGAAAGTTGGCTAAAAGCACCCGAGTGGCAATCTTGTAAATAAACTGAAATGTGATCCAAAACACTGTTCATATGAATAGTGCGATTTCCCCTCCTACTTTAGACTAAAGTAATTGCAACCTCATATAATATTTTTAAAACATTTCAATTTCATACACAAACTTGTATTTTGTTGCAATTTCATGCATTCATTAGTCAAACCGTTAAGTGATGACATGCTAAAAGCATGGCCTACATATTTTGATGATGTGTCATATAAAAAATATTTAATTATAAAAAAAACTTAAATACAAAATTAAATTAAAAATAAATAAAAAGCGGCCCACCCCTCTTCTTCCACACGACCATAGGGCCTCCATCTCCTCCAATCTCCATAACCACCAGTGCACCACCCCTCCCAATCCCTAAACCCTCATTCTCTAATTCTCCCAATTATTCCGATGCTTCTTCTTCCCCAAATCTCCGTACAAAATCTATTTATTTTTCGCTCTCAATCCGAAGAAAAAAACCTTAGAAATTTCATGGATTTCAAAATTTTATTTCCCAAAATTCAAAACCATTATCTTTTCCGCATCAACCTACCTGCAAATCTGAAAAGAACCCTCCCAAATTTCCTCCTATATTGCGCCGCACTTACTTGAACCAGCGTGATACCTGTCACATCCCGAACCGAGGTCGGTGGGACCCCACACCCGGTGTGCGAGTAAAAGTAAAAACGAAAAATAAAAACTTCTCTTAAACCAGTAATTATTAAAAAATCCTTACAGAGTGTACAAAAATAAGAAAAAAACTCTTAAATCCCTTGTCTAACACAACCTCAGCTCGTCTAGCACCTGTCTTGTCAAATAACTCATCTGCAAAATCAAAGGGTGAGAGGTGAGCAACAACCAATGTCGCTCAGTGAGTTATTTATATGTAATATGCCAGTTAAGCGATGTCATTTTAGTTACTATAGAAAATATAATAATAAAATCAAATCATTATGCACGTAGTGCCATATCACATCATCCCTTTACGTGTTCATTATATCCTTCATAAATAGTAACTCACTACGTGACTCCTATTGACCATTCTGCCCTAATGTCCCCATGTGTAATTTACATTTATCCCTCGGATTAATGCAACACTAAAATTCTCATGCTCCCCAAACAATTCTAAATATCCACATCTCTATATCAATAATTCTGAAAGCAGTTCCACAAATCTAACATACTTGACTTGAAATAAAGAGATAATTGAAAATAAGTATAATTTGCAACATATTACATAAATCACTCACCTTAAGATTCCAAATTTTAACAAGACAATCCAACTAACATCTTCACACATCCAACCCCTAATTTTATCGGATGTTCCTGGATGAATTCTAACTAAACAAATGGAGCAGCAGCCCCTTATTTTTGGGGCTCTCTGCAGCTCTCTCTGCTTCTCTGCGTTGCTCTCTGCAAGTATGCTCTCTCTCTCCTCAAAACCGAAATTGGCTACTCACTCTGCTCTCACCTTCTGCTGCTCTAATTTATCAATCAGAAAGCAGCAAATATAAAATATCCCAAAAGCAACAAGTGGCACTCAATTAAAAAGAATACGGGTTCTTACAATACCCACACCGATCTGAATGTCTGCACCGAACGCAGAATTAAGCACAGAATCCCGATGGTCACAATTTCTTTTAGATCCGAGCTTCCAATGCCATCTCTTCCCTATTTAACGGTAAATTTAAAGGATTAAGTAACAGTTGTATGAAATTGAAATGAAATAGCGTTAAATGTTTGAGATTAAAATATTTTAAAGATGTTGTAAGAAATTGAAATTAACCTCAAAACTAAAGGGGTAAAATGTATTTTACCCTATTAAATATGAAGTATAACTTTCGTTTTCAGATGGATATATACGTAATTACATATAGATCTGCGAATAAAAGCCGGTGTTTAATTAGCACTAATTATTTGTATTACTTTGAGTAATTAACCTGCTTATCATCATGATGTATTCATTTGGAACTAAGTTGTTCGCATGATGGTTTTGAAATTATTTCTATCACGCAGCCAAAGAACGATTATTGGATAAAGAATTTGAACTTACGTGTTGGCTTGTGGAAAGTTTGTAATGTAAAATAGATAGATAGCTCTAAATTCAACAAACAGAGATTTTTTAATGTAACTGGAATACGAGGCAGTACAATGTATGTCATTATACAATTCAAGGAAAGTTATTTTTTAGTAAGAGTCCCGCAATCATATAATAACATGTAGAGTATCACTCCGTGTTCCTACGTTGTTACATTTTTAATATATACCCCCTCCATGACCACGTTGTCATACTTAAAAACTATAATTGAACAGGTGAATGACTAGTTTGGTATTGTTGTGCTTTAAAAAAAAAAAAACTTTTGCTATATCTTGAAAATAAACAACTATAAAAAAAATTAAATGTTTGGTAAATTTTTTTTGTAGAAGTGCATTTAACAAAACCAAAAAAAGACATGCAAATCAAAAGATGATGAATGAATTATAATTAGAAAAACATATAAGCATTTGGCCTGAGGCTCTTATTACAGCAATATAGGTTTATCGCCAGCAACCTTACAATTTGATAGAGAAGGGTGACAGGGTATCACGTTCGTTCCGGCTTTATCAAAACAAATTCTCACTTCATGCATCGGATCCGGTGACACGTCGGGTACCGCTTTGCCTCGGAGGATAGGGTCGTGACCAGTCACTTGTGTAATGGTATTGGCGAATGGCAATGGTAGTGAGCGTATACAACTCCCCTTGAACGATCTTATATTTAGCGTTATGAAACATACTGGTTACATTGTACATGGACCATAACTTGTTGGCCTGCACAAAGTATAGTAACTGGGGGAAGGTTTGGTCGGAACATACACCATGATTGTTGTACTCGTACTCCCAAAATTTGAGATTTGAAGCATTTTTCATAATAGTTGGCCAAAATGTCTTCAGTGTCTTAAGCAATAGAATCTACTTAGACATCTAATGAAAATCCCAAAAAAAGAAAAAAGAAAATATAATTTCATTTTGTAATTTGCTTGAGAAATAATTAAAAACTGCTTTTTATAACAATAATTAAAGACTGTTAAAAATGAAGAAAATAAACTACAAAATACATCAATGATCGTGAACTTGTCCTCCCATTTCATTTTTGTCTCTGAACTTTTCCTTTTGGATAATAAAACTTTCTTTTTTGTTTTCTATAGTCCTCGAACTCATTGTCATGTATCACTTTGGTTCTTTTTGTTAACTCCATTTAATTTTCTGTTAAACTTAGGAGCAAATAGGACTGTTTGCAGAAGAATTAATAAAACAAAACATAACAAAATTCGTACTTTTTCTTAAAGCTCCTAGAATGTGGTGGATGATGACATCCCCTGGCCTCCCAATATATTTTTATTTTTAATTTTGTTTCATAATCTTCATTCTTATGTTATTGCTTTACTTGGGGTGTATGGAATTTGAGGGATTTTTATTTTTTGTACAAGTCTTTGACTTTAATTAAGATTTTAAGAGAGTTTATTAAAATCTACATAAATTTGAGTGTATTCAATTAGGATTTTACAGAAGTTTATAACATTTCAGGTGTAATTAATTATGAGTTAATTTTAAAGGCTTTTTGAAAAGTTGATGAATTCGAGGAAAAATTAGAGAAATTTCATAGTGTATTTCGAGCATTCACAAATCTCGCATTTTCCCATGAGATTTCGAGACACTTGGATCAAAATATTTTACATAGAATCTCTACAAATCCATTAAAATTTCTCGAAGTCTCAATTAAATACACCCAAAATTTTCCCTGAATTTAACCGAAAAATATATAGAGTTAATGAAAAGAATCAAAATGTCACTTGAGTGTGAGTTGTATTTTTGGTAAAACTTGAGAGTAGGGATGGGCAACGGTTATGGCGGGCAGGTAACCGCAGTTATTTACCCATAACCGTTTAAGCTTTTACCCACATAACCGTTTACCAGTTGGGTATTTACATAAATTGGTATACCCATACCCATATACCCATTTACCCATAACCGCGTACCCGTTTACTTTTTTCTTTTACCCGTCTACCTATTTTTTTAACAACTTGAAAATTAAAAAGAAATTTGTCATAATTTTTTTTCTTCTAACTATTAAATACCGTTATAAGTACATTTAACATGTATTTTTATATCAATGGCAATATTATTTATGAATATATGTGATGTCTCCTAATTATGTGACGGTTAATCTATTACAAGAATCATACATGGTTGTAGGTTAATTAATATTCTTATATACATACATACATACATACATATATATATATATATATGTATGTAAGTACACATCAGTCTACTAATAGGCTAATTTAATAAATATTTGGATTTTTATTTAGAAACATATGTTCATCAATCCAAGCCATTTAATCGATTTCTAATTTTGGGGTCAAAATTTATTAAAAACTTGAGGCCAACTAAATATATATATATATATATATATATATATATGTACGCATCATCTAATAATAACATGTTTCTAAATGCCCAAGGTAATTATTATCTTGAATTGGTCAAAGCTCCAAAAAACTCCAAAACAAAACTGTGGAACACTAATACTTAAGCACATTCAATCACATATATTAAACATTAGCCCATTCTATCAACTATATTTTTCTCTCAAGTGAGGCATATATATATATATATATATATATATATAATATTATATGGCCCTTTATAACCAAATATATCTCGGGATACTAAACCTAGTTAGAAACTATTTTTTTATTTTTTTATTTTTTAAGTTTTACATATATTAAAATAAACGGTTAAATGGGTACCCGTTTATACCCTTGGGTAATACCCATAACCGTCCGTTTAAATTTCACGGGTAAACGGTTATACCCATAACCATTTATTTAT